GGGGTTCCTTCCAACCCAAGCCATTCTATGATTGTATGGTTGCATCCTTACAGGCCTTGACAATATTCCTATATTCTTCCCAGGTGGACAGGCCCTTTTACCATATTTCATAGACCTTCTTTCCTTTTAGTTTATCCATGTGTTCCTTGCTCATCCACACAGGCCTCTTGCCACCTTTCTCTGATTTCTTAGTCTTAGATACATACCAATCTTGAGCTTGGAAGAAATGGTGTTTAAGCACCAACCAGCTCTCATGGGCACCCTTACCTTCTAACACTCTAGCCCATGGAATACCTCCAAGTAGTTCTTTAAAGAGGTCAAAGTTTGCTCTCCTGAAGTCTAGGGTAGTAATTCTACTTATTGCTTTGCTTCTTCCACACAAGATCTTGAACTCCACCATCACATGATCACTACATCCCAAGCTGCCCCCAACCTTCACATCCCCAACTAGTCCTTGTTAGTAAAGGCAAGGTCAAGTAGCACACCCCTCCTTGTTAGCTCCTCTACCACCCATGTCAGAAAGTTATGAACAACACATTGTACTGCCTGGATGTATTGCTTATCCAACAAATATCAGGATGGTTGAAGTCCCCCATACCCATAAGAACCCAGGCCAGGGATTGATAAAGCTACTTCCAGCTGCTTGTAGAAGGTCTCATCCACCTCCTCCTCCTGATTAAGTGGCCCATAGTATACACCCACAGCGGCATCACCTATGTTAGCCTGCCCCTTAATTCTTACCCACAAGCTCTCTACTCATTCATCATTCCCCCCAAGCAGACGCTGATGCATTCTAGTTGCTCTCTCACATAAAGAGCAACTCCACCACCTTACCTCACCACCCTGTCTTTCCTAAAGAGGACATAGCCATCTGTGTAATTAATGAATATACGGATATTATAATTCAAAAATATACAGGAAAATTAGGCTAAACAAGTTATCACACTAAAGAAAAACAGATGGAAAGCTTACCCTTATCATGGACTCACTGAGAAGACTCCAAGAGGACCAATCTCCAGAAGAGATCCTTCTTCACTGCCAGTCAGCCCTTACATGGGTCTAGGAGAGGTGCAGCCAGGCTCCACCCCTTCCAGCAGCACAGGAGAATTGCCTTCACCTGTGCTCCCAGGGCTGACTCCATGCCCGCCTCAGGTGATCAATCAGAGGTTCAGGCCATGACTCAGCAGTTCCCATATAGCCATCCATGGCAGAATTCCAGTTATATGAACAGTCCTATCACGTTGTCACGGAATTATCTCTAGATCTATCTGTGTCCATGACATGGGGACAGCAGGCCCGCAGGCCCACCAGCCCAAAAAGGGGAGGTGGGGGGGGGGTGTCAATAGGTTATGGGCTGTTTCGGCTTGGTTCTGTGACTAATGGGGCAGGGGACCCCTTGGGAAAGGGGAAAGGGAAAGGGGGAATGGTAGGGAGATGGGAGATGGGCCTACAAACAGAACAGCGGCAATGATCTGAGGAAGAAAGTGCATTTACTAAATATGATATTGGAATGCAAGATAACACAATATAATACAATATAATTGGAATTGAAGCTAATAAATAAAATGAGAGACAGTGTCCGAAACTGAAGGCCTTACTCTGAACTGAAGGCGCACAGCTGGGGAGCACACACACATTGCCAGGCAGCAAGAGAGAGCGAGTCCGGTGACTTGAAGGTCTTATCTTCCCCTCTGAATGCAAAGTCCTCTGAGGTATGTAATTCTTCTTTTCTGAGAGCCAGGTATTCAGAAAATCAGCGGTCCATGGAAGTAGGGCATTGACTCTTGAACTCCCAGTGCTTTACATGACGTTATGATGTGGAATATTGATAACAAACATCATAAAACCATGACACACGTCTCTGTGATCTCAGTGAGATCATGGCCCTGTAACTACACATGGATCTCTAGTTCTTCCTGTTTAATTCCCATGCTGTCTGCATTGCTATACAGGCACTTCAGGGAGGCAGAGGGTGCAGGTATCTCTAGAGGGATGCAAGAAAACTTAAACCGGGCTATTGGCAATGCTATCTTCTCTGAAAAGTCCTCACAAGGTCCTATTGGACAACTGAGAGGGTTTTATGTACAACGGAGAATAGGGAGCAGATACAAAGAGCACAATAACACTGTTAGAGTAAATTCGCAGCTACAAAACACATTTTTTAACATAGACACCACCATTAGCAAATTCTTGTGGACGAGCTGATCAAGATGCTCTTCATTTTGTGGCGTGACAGCTGTGCGTGGCCCTTTGGAACAGGGCTTGTCTTTCATGTCGCTGTTGCCACTGTTGAAACTCAACACCCACTGCCTCACTGTACTGATATCCACTGTTTGGTCTCCATAAACATTAAGCAAGCTTCAGTGAATGTCAATGGGTATAATTTTTTCCGCATGGAGGACTTCAGTGATACGCCTCTGCTTTGTGCACACTTCCATGTCAGTTCCCAAGAGGGATTCCTTGCTCCCCATTCAGAAGTTGATTCGTCAACGAGAGAGTCAGGGAGTGATCAGCAAGACTCACTCACCTTTTAACAGCCCCATATGGCCAGTGCGTAAAGCCAGTGGAGAATGGAGGCTGATGGTGGA